AATGCAAACACCGACTTTTTTGGAAACGGATGTTGCTGCTAAGGAAACAGGTCGTGTTATGAAAGAAATTGCATAGCCCTTCAAGAAATGCTAAACGCTAAGACCTCGGAAAACTGATGTTAGAAACATTCTTAGTAGTAAAATCTTATTTTTTACGAATAACACTCGGTAAGAAGCGGGTAACAGAAAAGTTTTTGCGGCTTTTTCTCGAAACTTTATCAGGCTTTTCGTAAGGCCAGTGACGAACGCTGTGTGCATGCTTGTAAAAAAAATCTTCGTCATTCAACATGATAACAGAACGTTTCGAAGTATATAAGCGATGATGATTGCTAAAACAATTTTTGAATTCGCGTTACTTTATTTGCAAAATTTTGGAACGAGTATATTAGTTCCTAATTATAATTGAAATTACTTTGTCTGCGTCATGAACTTTTATCAAATTGTTATTAATAGGCGTGTAACATTAGAATCTTACACATTAGAATCAACATTAGAATCATAATAGGAATATGATCAGGATAACGTCTTCGAATACGTTCACATTCATATCGGCGTTGTTCGAAAGAATGTTCATGCTTATATTGCCGTATATGAGATTCAATACCGTTTTTGTGGCAGGTTCAAAAAAACAAAAAATATGTTCACAGTTATATAATATGGAATGAGAAGAGATTAACAGCATGCACTTTTCAATATACATTGAATGACTGGATCTAAACAGCAGGAACGAAAGTCGAAAAAGAGAAGAAAGAATATGAATGTGTTCTTGCACATACACGACAGATACTTACAACTGCTCAGTTCTTCTCTTTCTTCGCTCTACCTGTTATATTATATGTTACAATAATTTTTTTCAATTGACACCAGTATATTAAAGAATAACTCAGAAGATAATGATATTGCTCTTTACTTTTGAAAATTTATTATCATAATAACTGAGCATTCTATAAATTAGCAATAAACTTTACTATAATAGTTAACTTTATTTTAGAAGTAACGTGAGGGAGTGGATATAAATATAGCTTTCCTTTGGTGACATCTACGCCTTCAACCACACCTCACCTAACTGTATCTCGTACTAACAGTTGGGTTTAACATGAATATTATGTGCAATTGTATTTCTACGAACAAGACCAATGGTTTTGATTAGTAAAAGTACTTTGCGAATTGGATATAAAGAAAACAGTTGATACGCGTAGTTACTCAAGAATGAAAACGAAGGTGAAAAGCACAGTCAACTTTACAGTCAGAAGAGTGTGAAGATAAAGTTAATAACTGAATCATAATACAGAAAACTACTGAATTTCCTGAAAACGACATTCAATAAATTCCAACGAAATGATGATCTCTGAATGATTTATTATTAATTGTTATATCTGGAAACAACACAAAATCAAACACTTAGAAATTAGTTAAATTAACGTTTTTAGTGTGTACTGACATAAGTACATTTTTGACAGGTACGTTTTTTACTGATGATTTTTATTCATTTCTGTCATTCTTTCTTTAACACTTTGTATATGTTCACGGTATATTTGAATATTTTCATGATTATTCGGTAATGATTTTAATCCAACATCTAAGGCAATTTCAAAGCACTGTAAGGCTGTATTATAATCACCTTTAAGAAGGTAAACACCTCCTATATTATTGTATGTTGAAGCGATTCGAAAATGATTTGAGGGTAAAAATTTCAATTCAATTTTAAGCGCATCTTGCAAATGCTCTAATGCTTTGTCGAACTCTCCATCGTCTTGTAGTATTCCACTAATACCAGAATATATTAATGCAGATAATGAAAAACTCGGTATTGAAGAATGCGTTCGACAAATTTCAAGAGCTTTATTATAATATTCCAAAGCTGTTTTATTATTGTCTTCGTCCTGATATAATGAACCCATATTATGATACAATGATGCCAATAAAAGAACGTTTTCTGATAGTTTTTGCATCTTATATTTTTTATCTGATTCCGTATAATATTCCAAAGCTTTTTTATAATTACCAACATGGCTGTATAATTTACCTATATTATTCAATAACAATGGGATTGCCGGATCATCTGATGGTAATTCATCAAGCATCATTTGATAATATCGTTTCGCTTTATTATACTTTCCCATTTGACTTAATAATGAACCTAATGTAGCAATATTCGATATACTTGTAGTTACGTCCATTTTTAAATAATTAAATAACATATCTATGTCTTTATTTACTACTGATTCACTTAATATCAATTTAACTTGCCATACAATACCATTGTCAATTAATTGTTCGACTGATTGAATTTTGAATATCATTCCCATCGCTAATAATATTTCTTCTTCTCCCATACCAAACTGACTCTTATGTTGTATATCAGCAAATGGTTGATTATCACTAGCTACATTTTTTTCAATTATAATTTCAAATAAAACCGATTCAAGTATCGGTCTATCAGAACCATTACCAGCATATATCAATGCTAAATTTTTGTTCCGAGTTGTTGATGTATATGTATTCATTGAAATAAGACCATTAATATTATTTTTTATTTTTTCTAAATCATTACAACTCATACTTTGTCCACGATACACGACTAATGTTTCTTCTAATGATAAAACAGATTCATTATATAGTTTTTTCAATTGTTTATAAATATCTGTGATAATAAAACGATATTTAAAGATGACATCAATATCTTGTGTCCTTAACGCTTTATTTAATTGTTTATAAACAAAGCTATCTCGTGTATACCATGAAATAGCAAGATCTGCATTGTAATTTTTTTCAAACTCGTCAATGAGGTTTAATTGATATTGATCTTCAGCATAGTACGATCGACATTCGTTTAACATGATCATTTTTTCATGATTTGTTTGAGGTATTTGGATTAAAACATTGAGAAGCAATTGAGTCCACATAAACATAGTATATTCTTTGTTTAAAGCACGAATCGATTTTTCATTAATTATACTGATTGGTATTAAACTTTTCGAATATGATTTTATGTCTTGTTTTAATTTTTCAATAAGTTGATTTTTATTTGGAAATACTCCGCGAAGCTTTGGAATATCTTTTAGTTGACATGTATCACTGGAGTCCTGATTCAGATATAATATGTAAATAAATACAATTTGTTTCAAGTCGACGATTTGTGGAATAAATATTTCGCAAATTGAACCAGGAACAATTAGTAAAACGTTTTCATTGTTATTGATACCGTGACAACATTCATTTGTATCGTTATATATTTCCATATAATGATTACATTGCCGTAAACGTGTTTTTGTATCGAAATAATCATTTTTGTTTTCATGGATTCGATCAACATCAAGCCAAACAATAGTCAGATCTTCGAGATTTTTTATTGACGATGTCATCGTATATTAAAATTCTCTCCTTTTCGTATAAATTATCATATATAAAAACAAATGATATGCAGTTTATGTTATGTATATTTTATTCTGTGCAAAAGAATACTTGTTATCTGTTGTCACGCATTTTATTAACAAATATTACAAGGTAAATAATATCTTCTAACATGTGATTCTGCATCGAGAACGGAAACATTCACACCTCAGATGAAGATGAAAGAATCTAATATTCGGACTCAGTATGGAAATCGTCGATTTCTAATGGAATCCAGATTATGAAATTCCAGAGGGATTCGTAGTGTCGACGAGATCCTATTGGATCCCATTACCAACATCTGTAGGTACGAAAAACTACTAAGCAAAATATTAAAAAATTAAACCATTGTTGTTTAATAACAATGCAAAAAAATATTGGTGCCCAACCAGCAATATATACAATAAACATAAAAAGCATATGTTTAAGAATATGAATATCTCGATTCGTAAATTTCGATGATAATGTTCCTTCTGTAGGAGCCAAACGACGTGTAGATATATAAGCATAGATAAAGATCCGAGTATCTATTATTCTAAGAAGGATAAAAGGAACGATCGCAATGACCATTAGTTGATAAACATTAAACCTTAAGGGTGAGGGTGAGCATAGTTACTACAATACAGGTATTTCGATGTTACAAAGATCTTATCAAGTGGCACAAGTATTAGTACAAAAGATTTAATACAAGATTAAATCCGTCACATAATACTACATCTATTTAAAAGAAAGGAATAAAGAAAGAATAAGTCACTTTTACAATCTTTGTCTAGTGTTTGTTTCGCGCAAAGTAGGCCATATATATCATCCATCATCTAGAAGAAAGAGATCATTCAGTAAGTAACGATGAAAAAGTGATGGACGCATGCCATTATTGTCATTGTGGGGTAATGTCAACAGATGATGGAGTGGTTTTTGCTTCTTGAGATAATCGTTTATTGGCAATGGAATATCAGTCACTAAGTCTGGTTGGATATTGATCTGATTTTCATAGGGTTCGGGTTCTGAGAGAACTGTCCTTTTGACTTTGACATTGTGACTAAAGCGTGAGATCGTGTTTCACAAAATATTTTAGTCAAACAAAGCGCAGGTGAACGGGTTCATGAAAGTGCAACGTATAATAAACCCTTTCTACCGTATGTGAAAAATTTCATAAACCCTTGAGAGTTTAATAGCGGCGTCATAAACCGTTCAAGGGTTTATGAAACTTCTAACGTACGGTAGAAAGGGTTTATTATACCTTGCACTTTCATGAACCCTTGAGAGAAGGTCTGCGAGAGAACAAGTCTACTCTTCATATAGGCCTCCGGAGAAAAAATTCTTTTTTTCATTTAGTTATCTCAAATGAACGTTCTAGTCAAACCATACAGTGAAATCCAAAATATTAGGTCATTTGGTTTTACTTATGAAAAACGTGAGCTAAAACAAGTTCCAAGGGTCTATTTTGATCCTAAAAAAAGAACCGCTAAAAATGAATGTGCTCACTATATTGACATTATCTCATGAACAGTTTAACCGTCTGAGCTCGTGAACGCTCATTTGACAGAGAACAGTATAGGCTACAAAATTTTGAGTGATATACCATTTTCATCAGAATATTTTACTCTATCAAACTGTATAAAAAGAAAGATTTGAAAGGTTTTCCAGAAAACCTGATGGTCGGAAACCGAGTTTTTAAAGGAAGCATATTTTCATTCTGGCGTAAATTAGTGTCGTATTCGATAGAGAATCTGAAACTATATATTCCATACTATTTCCACGTTGGCAATCCTTTTCATTTAACCATGGTAAAATATTTACGGAATATGGTACATGGTTTTCTACGTTTGCGTCATTATAAACCACCATTTCGTTTATGATGTGTGTTCAGAAAAAAATGAAGATAGCTGTTTTGTAGTCCGAAATGAGTTCTGCAAAACTACAATTGTCTTAGCCTCATCTGTTCTATCCTCACCACAAAGTACCCCGATCAATTTTTCTCGAACATTTTCAGCATATACTCAACTTTAGTAAGGCTACAAACTGGTAAAATCAGAATTAAATTTCAAAAAAAAAATTGAGCACATTGTAGCGCATTAGGTCGTCTCTTTCGTGTAATGGCTCCTAAGGACTGTTTGATTGACATTTAACACACTGCTATTGATATTTTATATAAGTAATAAATAATAAATAATAGTTTAATTGATAAAAAAATAGTAGAGCAACAAGAAATCATACAAAATATGGTAATTGATCATAAGCATTTATTTGAAGTTCATCAGATGAATATATCATTACTACAAGATTTTGTTAATGTTCATGTTATCCCAGTATGTCAAGTTATTGCATTGGTGGTTCCATTATTAGTCGAGAAACAAATATTAGATGACAAACAGTTTCTACTCAATCGTTAACGGCTATTCGTTTCAAGTTCTTGAAGGATCATGAATTAACATGGAAAAAATCCTCAGAAAATAAAGATAAAGAGAAAGAAGTACAACAAGAAGGCGTACATCCTGAACGTTTGGAAACAGGTATGGACGTTGAGACGCCCACAAATAATGACTAAGGGGGCTAATGGGTTTGAATTATCTCCCACTGCTTTCGCCCTTTTCTCCTTTTTCTTCTTTTATGTTTAAGAAAATCAGTGTGAAAAAATTCGATACTGAATACGCTTTGCCTCTTACTCGTGCACTATTGTCAGATTTTGACTTTTGTCTTTTGTCCGATATTATTAGAGAATGGCATCCATTTCCTACTCTTAATAGCTGTTTTTTTGTATGGAAATCATATGAATATGTGAATCCGGTTTCCTTTGCATCAAATTTAAATGTCCTGCTTTTTAATGTTCGAGGACTCGAGGAACGATGGCATGAAGTACTTCTAATTTATGAAAGACTAAAGCCGGATTGTATGGTATTATTGGAAATTGGCTCTATAGAGTATAGTTGTATCCAAAAAATCTTTCCTCATTTTAAATTGTTCTATCAAAAGGGCGAAAATAGTTGGGGTGGTGTTTTACTTGTTTTTAATGAATGTATTCCGTGTAAACGCGTGAGTTGTGATGTGCCAAATGTATGTGTAGTAGATGTGCAGTTAGAACAAAACTTTCGTATTATAGGGGTGTATGCGCCCAAAAGTAAATCGTGGAATTGGGACGAACTTACTCAGTTCTCTACAGATGCATGTTGTTTTTTTGGTGATTTTAATATCGACTTTGATGATAAGGCGGATGAGTTACTACCAAAAGATCTACTTTCATGGCCTGACTCTTGTTTCCTGGCTCCGATAGTTCGCGAAATGCCTACATCGCGTCGTTCCAATCGTAAGATTGACTACGCTTTCGTTAGAGGTATTCCACTTTCTCTTTGCACTTATGAGGAAAATACTACGAGTGACCAAAAACCAGTTACTGAAGTGATCAGCTGTGAAAGAAAGGAAATGACTGTCGGTAGTAGTATACATTGGAAAGTATTTAGCTATCTTCTCTCATTTGTGTCTGATTTTTGGGATGTACAATGGAAATATTCTTCTCCGGAAGAAAGTTATACAAATTTTGTTACTTTTCTAGCATTGTTAAAGGCACGTTGTACTACCTGTTTTCCCCTAAAAAAATATCGTATTGCTGTCCCTAAAGAATTACGTCAAAAGTAGTCATATACACGTGCATTATCTTTTCTACATAAAAGAACTGGCGATGTTTCTTTACGAGTAAAAATTAAAGAGTTGAGAAAAACTAATAAACAAGAGTTACGTTCTTTCCCGTCTAATCGGCTGATCACATCACTAAATGAAAGATTTTCTTCCTCTCCTTCTTCTTTAGCTTTTTGGTCTAAGACAAGGAAAAATTTTGAACTAGCTAGCTCCTTAAATGCATTTATTGATGATCAGGGGACAATAGTTAAAGATACAGACCAAATGTTAGATATGGCAGCGAGCTATTATGAGAATCTTTTTAAAGAAACGGTAGTGTATCGTCCTCATCCGTATGTGGATTCCCCGGAGATTCAGTGGGATAATTACCACGAAACCATTCCTCTTATTACTTTACCCGAACTGATGAAGGTAGTTGTTAAGCGAAAAAAAAACATTCGTGTGATACTCATGGGCTTTCAACTTTTATGTTTCAGTTTATCCCAATACAGTATTGGGTAGGATTACTTCAAATTTTTAATCTTTCTTTGTCTTCCTTTGTTGGTCCATCCTATTGGAAAAAAGTGCGTATGAAA